GAGCTGTGAGATCATGACCTGAGCCAAAGTCAGATGCTCAACCGACTGAGCCACCCAGGCACCCCGAAAAACACGATTTTTTAAAAATGTTTATTTATTTATTTTTGAGAGAGTGAGAGACAGCAAATGCAAAGCGGGGGGAAGGCAGAGAGAGACACAGAATGTGACGCATGCTCCAGGCTCTGACCTGTCAGCACAGAGCCAGATGCAGGGCTTGGACCCACGAACCGAGACATCATGACCTGAGCTGAAGTTGGATGCTTAAAGAACTGAGCCACCCAGGGGACCCATGTGTGAGTATTTATATACTCACAGAAATATATATGACTCTAAATCAAAATCGACTGATGGTCATTTCTTAGTAGTGTGATAAAGAAGTATTTTTATTTTGCTTTTTCTTAAGTGTATTTTCTGATTTTTGTACCATGGATATTTACTACTACTGTAAAAAAAAAAAAAAGGAAAAGTTGAAGGGACCTCAACCATTAGTAACACACACAGATTGGCTCATAAAGTATGTAGGCCATTAGCACCCTGGATTGGAGATGGAAAGCAAGACCTAGAAGGCACGGAGTATGCACTGTGATCTTCAATTTATGAAGATTAAAACAGAGCAAAGAATGAATAACACTTATAGATCATTAAGTGAATCTTTTTGATTAGAATGTTGTCACGTTAAAGTGTTGTTTCTAAAAAATACATGTGATAATTACTGTTTGGAGTAGCGTTCTAAGAGTAGAAAATTGAAAAAATACCCTTAAAGTTTTCTGGCACAGTTAAGAGGTACACGAGCAGAGTAGAAAACTACGAAGAAGATTCTTCTTGTTAGGGATGCCACAGAAAGCAGGCTCATGGGGCCATGGGAGAGGGCCACTGTTTCCTATTATAGTCACGGCAAGATTGAAATATGACCTTACTCTCAACAAATGGGCTGCAGCTGAGTGCAGCACCTTTGGTGTCCCAGGTGTTCTCGGAAAGGGTTTCTTAGTTCAACTAGTACAAATAAAGCCCACCTACAAGTCCTCTTGAATTACGTCTCTGTTCCTAATATTATCTTTGGGCTTCTCGGCCATGAAAAAAGGAAATTCTGACTTCTACTTCCCACTTGTTGGCTGAAGTAGAAGGGGCAGGAGAGGTTAGTCGTAAGAGTAGGTACCAAACAGTAAGAATTACCTTCTGCAGACTATGTGCTCTTCAACATCAATAGTTGCTAAGGGTCTGCAGCTACAAAAACAAGTCTTGATTATTTGGAAAGGAATCAAGTTGGAACTAAAGTCTCCTTAAACACTCAGTAAATTCATAAAATTGAAAACTCACCTGAAAACATTTTTACAAAATCATCAGTAGACATACTCATCACCACATCTGCCTGATGAGAGGGCTCTCCATATCCAACGTTCCCACCTTTGCTTTTAAGATCAAGAAACCACATTCCACCATCTTCACCTACACAAAATATAAAGATGTAGAAATAAATGCCAAAGTAGCCCTTTCTTCTTAAACTTAATAACTGCTACAGTTAAAATAAATGCTCTTTTCCAGGTTAAAACCCTCAGGCCTCTATCAAATTCAGCAAATATCCATTAAGTACTCACATGCCAGGCACTAGGCTAGGCTCTGAATACTCCGCAGTAACATGGTTCTTACACAAGAAGAAGTGGAAGGTTAATGTGGAGTCAGGCAAGACCAGCGGAAGGTGAGATTTAAAAGTCAGGTAAGCGGGTGCCTAGGTGGCTCAGTCAGTTAAGTATCCAGCTCAGGTCATGATCTCACAGTTCATGAGATCGAGCCCTGTGTCAGGCTCCATGCTGAGTGTGGAGCCTGTTTGGGATTCTCTCTCTCCCTCTCTCTCCACCCCTCCACCTGGTTATGCTTTCTCTCTCTCAAAGTAAATAAGTAAACACTTTGAAATGAGTAAGAGTCAGGTAAGAATTAGCTAGATGAGGAACTGAAAAACGTATACTGGGACTGAAGGCAGAAAGAGAATGAAGAGTGGCATCAGATGAGCTCATGAAGTGGTCCAGATGCAGGGGGGGGCAGTGAGCCATGTAAAAGATTCACTGACTTCATCCTAAAGGGATAGGCTACGGAAGGAGAATGACATAAGGCTGGTATTTTCAATAAATCACCCTAAAAGCAGTGCAGAGAATATACCGGAGGGGGATGAAGAGGATACAAAAGGCAAGTTAGGATGGTGTTGGGGTAGTTTGGGAACTTGAGGATGTATGCCTGGACCAGAACTGTGACAAAGGGAATATGGGAAAGTAGGCTTATTTGAGAATTTCAAATAAGAAACACAAGATTGGGTAAATGAATATGATGAGGAAAGGTATGGAGAGTGCATAAAAATGATTTGCTAATTTTTGGCTCAGGATACTGGGTAAAACTGGTGTATTTTTTACTGAGAGATGACTACTGAAGAAAAACAGATTGAATAGGTAGTGTCTGAGGCAGGTGTTGGGAATGGTGTGCTGTTTTAGGCATTTTCAGATTGTTGAGACATTTTTGTGACAGCCAAGGGAAAATGTCAAATGAAGACTGACTAGCCTAGAAATATAGATACATAAATAATCATTTCCTCTTTTTTTTTAATGTTTATTTTTTGAGAGAGAGACAGAGAGAGACAGAGAGAGTGAGTATGGGGGAGGGGCAGAGAGAGAGGGGGAGACACAGAATCTGAAGCAGGCTCCAAGCTCCAAGCTGCCAGCACCGAGCCCGATGCGGGGCTCGAACTCATGAAGCTGTGAGATCATGACCTGAGCAGAAGTCAGACGCCCAACCGACTGAGCCACCCAGGCTACCCTGAGTCATTGAAGCCATTTGAGTGACTGAGGTTTTCTAGGGCAAGTCTGTAACTGACAACGATGATTACAGACAGAGGAAGGAAGCGAGGAGAGGGGCTATCAGCGAAGTCAAGGAAGGGAGTATTTCCAGAAGGAAAGAGTGGTCAACAGTTTCAGATGCTGTAGAGTGGTGACAAGGTAAGAATGACAAAGGCCCACTGACGATATAGAAGTCACTGAGGACTTTGGTGACAGCAAATTCAATGGAATGGAGAAATATACCAGAGCAGAGTGAAGTGCACATGGAAATATATTTGGCTCTTAAAAGGGAGAAGAATGGTGGAGGCAGAAGTGGGGCTGGGGGTTGTGTTTTGATTTGAAGATGGTATGGACTTTGAGAATGTTAAAATACCACCAGAGAGTAGGCTGTAGGATGAGCAGGTCAGAGAGGGCATAATTACCAGCACAATGTCCCTAAGGAGGCCACAGGGCATGGGATCTACAGCTTTGCTACTCAAAGTGTGATCTGTGGGGGTGCCTACGTGGCTCAGTGGTTAAGCATCCGACTTCGGCTCAGGTCATGATCTCGCGGTCCATGGGTTCGAGCCCCGTGTCAGGCTCTGTGCTGACAGCTCAGAGCCTGCTTCAGATTCTGTGTCTCCCTCTCTCTCTCCCTTTCCCCCACTTGTGCACACTCTCTCCCTCTCATAAATAAACATTAAAAAAAAGAAGAAAAGAAATGCAGAATTCAGACTCTGCTGGAGACAGGCTAAATCAGATTCTGCATGTTAACATGATCCCAGGTGATCAATATGAACATAAAAGCTTGAGATGCATGAATCTAGAGATGAACTCTGTTCTACTGGGAAGGAAGAAAGAATGATGCTCATAATGGCTGATTTGATATCAGATGGCAGGAAGCTGAAGCAATTTGTCTGCAAGTTTCTATTATCTCTGTGAAAGAGGAGGTGGGATTATCTGCTGACACTGGCAGGGATGTGGTGAAGGGAGAGCTGGGAGATTTGTGGAACACTGAGAAGGTTAAAAATAATTACTGTAGTGCTTTCAACAATAGCCAAAATTATGGAAAGAGCCTAAATATCTATCAACTGGATGGATCTATCAATGGATAAAGAAGATGTGGTTTACATATACAATGGAATATTACTTGGCAATGAGAAAGAATGAAGTGATGCTATTTGCAGCAACGTGGATGGAACTGGAGAGTATTATGCTAAATGAAGTAAGTCAGCCAAAGAAAGACAGATACCATGTTTTCACTCCTATGTGGAACTGGAGAAACTTTAAGAGAAGACCATGGGGGAAGGGAAGGGAAAAAAAGTTACCAACAGAGAGGGAGAGAAGCAAACCATAAGAAACTCTTAAATAAAGAGAACAAACTGAGGGTTGATGGCAGCAGAGCAGGGGAGAGAGGAAAATGGGTGATGGGCACCGAGGAGGGCACTTGTTGGGATGAGCACTGGGTGTTGTATGTAAGTGATGAATCACGGGAATCTACCCAACACCAACAGCACACTGTATACACTGTATGTTAGCCAACTTGACAATAAATTATATTAAAAAAAGTTAGAAAAAGATAAAATAAAATAAAATAAAATAAAATAAAATAAAATAAAATAATTACTGTGAAAAATGAGGCAGTAAGCTTGACTACAGAAATAGAGAATTCTCAGGCACTGCTTAGACCCCAGCTGAAGAAGGGCAATGATGAATTTCTTTACTTTTTTTTTAAAGAACTTTTTTTTTATATGTTTATTAATTTTGAGGGAGAGACAGAGAGCCCACACGTGTAGGGGAGGGGCACAGAGACAGGGAAAGAGAATCCAAGCTCTGACAGTGCAGAGCCTGATGGGGGGCTTGATGTCATGATCCGTAACATCATGACCTGAGCTGAAATCAAGAGTCAGATGCTTAACTGACTGAGCCACCCAGGTGCCCCAGTGATGAATTTCTACTGGTACAGATCCACTGGGTGGTGTGATGGGTTTTTTCCATTTGTCCAGGAGGACTTGGCAGCCTGGGTGCAACTGTGGGGCAGTCACATAACGTGATTCATCCAGGATTAGGCTTTTGACAGATGGTGACATAAGCACAAAAAGTTCAGGAAATTTAGGCTACAGGCAAGAGAGTGATTAAAGCAATGGACCATGGGTTCTAAAGGGTAAAAAGGAAGAAGAGATGAAACAGGGGAGGCAAAGGATAAAAGAACTGATAATGTCAAAGTTTGCATTCAATGGAACTAAAGTAGCTAGTTCTCAAAACTATCATTAATATGTGTTAATACTATGTTGAGAAGAAAACTACTGAGAAGTTTGAAAAAACTGACTACATGTAGACGGACCTAAATAATTCCAAAGATAAAAATGGTAAGGTGCTACGGCTAATGATAAATTACTGTATTATACTGCCTGTTATGATCCACATGCCCTCCTAAACAGAATTTTCTCTCAATTACATATGCCAAAAATGTATTTAACACTGACAGTATAGGTAATGAAATTTTATGTTTATTTATTTTTGAGAGAGAGAGAGAAAGAGTACAGTTGGGGAGGGGCAGAGAGAGAGGGAGACACAGAATCTGAAGCAGGCTCCAGGCTCTGAGGTGGCAGCACAGAGACTGACACGGAGCTCGAACTCACGATTTGCCAAAGTCAGACGCTTAACCAACTGAGCCACCCAGGCACCCTGCTATTCTTGAATGTCTACATTCTAGGGTTAAGGGTTCTGGATACAGCCAACTATCAAGGTGATTACTACTGGAGGCTGATTTTCTGCCAAGGGACATACCCTACTTTGTTTCACAAAAGTGTCAAATTACTAGATATGATTTTTACCTGAGAGTTCAAACTGATAGATTGCTTGAGTGGCTTTAACGACGTCATCAGTGAGAGAGTCCTTAACAATTCTAAATGTTTCTTCCACAGCTCCAGAACGTGGTTTTGGTGGTGGCTGTGGCTTCTCTTCTTTGAGTTCCAGAACAGCACCTATAAAACATTATTGATATAAATGTCTTTAAAGCCTAGGCAGTGTAAGGCCCCACACAGAATTAATTAATTAGCAAAAGAGACTTGCCACCAATTAGACCTGTTTGACCAAAATGACTTTAAATATATTTGGTGACAAAGTGTTAAGTCAACCTGATGAAATAATATCCAAATACATCAGTTACACATCAGTTGGTTTATACTCTCCAGGTAAAAGGCTGACTCTCAGATTACATTGAAAAAAACCAAACCATTACTAAACAATAGTGTTTTTTGTTTTTTTTTTGGTTTTTTTTTAAGGGACCTAAACAAACTTTTGGGAGTTTTAGGAGTAATAATCACTCCTTTATCATCCGCTCCGAGTTCTAAAACCAAATGAGAAAAGACACTAGAGTAAGTACCATGGAGATCAGAACATCAACCATGTAAACAGCAGAGCTGAACTGGAGATTGTAGCTTGAATTAACAGCCAAGTGAACTTCCTAGTAACTTTGCTTCTAAATTTGACTTAGTTCCTTCACCCCTGAATTGAACTTGCCTCCTCCCATCAGGGCTTAGAAATGCCTCTAAAAGTACAGGTCATGTGAAAACCGGGGACAACCTGCTCAGACAGAAAGAACCTTCACAAGAGTCTAAACCACACAAAATTAGTTCCTCTTCCAGTTTCATCAGACTGGTCCCCCCCACTGGATGAAGATGGAGATCAGACTACAAGCCTCATGAAAGCCCCCCCCCTGCCTAGAAATATAAGGCCAGGGGAATGGAGGTTATAGTGTTTTTAAACTTGTATCCATGTAACCCATTGGCTGTAACCATTCAGCGTATAACGAGCCAGTAGATGTGCAGTCCATAGGACTGTTCAATTGCCATAGCTTGAAGCTGTCCTCCAAAACCAACCTCTATTCCTTTATTTTTCCTCCTGGAATCACTTGTGGGCAGTTTAGCAGTTGCCCCCAGAAACAGGTGAGAACAATTCATTAATTAAATTAATTCCAAGGCCAATCTGTGCTCTAGGCTAAAAATGAACTCTCCATCTACTTTCCGACTCAAATTACACCCAGCCATATAACTCACCAAAGGTTATTAAATGAAATATAATTGGCAGCACAAAAATATTCCATAGTACAACAGAAGCAATATAAAAGTATCCCAAATTTGCTGCATATAGATTACCCTCCACTACAATGATTCCAGAGACAAAAACACCCAAACAAATAAACAAGAAAATCCTTCTCTTCTTACAAGTTAAAATCCAAACAGATATTAAAGATGAAATCCTCAAGATCCAATGGAGCAAAGATACACACTTTTAAATAAACTTTTAGTTTCTCACTGTTTTTAAATTCATTAGAGAGTGCACCTCTTTATTGCCTACACCCATGGCAAACAACTCCGACTGCCTTGCCCTTGCTTTTTCTTCATGGATAACATGCATGAATAATGATCATAAGTATATAGCTCAAAAAGTTACCAGAGGGGTTGGGGGATGTGTAAAAAGGGGTGAAGGGGAATAAGAGGTATAGGCTTTCAGTTATGGAATGAGTAAGTCATGGGGATAAAAGGTATGGCACAGGAAATACAGTCAGTGGTATTGTAGTAATGTTGTATGGTGACAGATGGTAGCTACACTTGTGATATGCACAGCATAAGGTATAGACCTGTGGAATCACTATGAAACAAATGTAATATTCTGTGTCAACTATACTTCAATAATTTTTTAAAACTTATCAATAAGTGGATATACTGTGTCATCATCACCTAGGTCAAGAAAGAAGATAGGGGTGCCTGGGTGGCTCAGTCGGTTAAGCATACGACTTCAGCTCAGGTCATGACCTCACAGTTCATGGGTTCAAGCCCTGTGTCGGGCTCTGTGCTGACAGCTCAGAGCCTGGAGCCTGCTTCCGATTCTGTGTCTCCTTCTCTCTCTCTGCCCCTCCCCGCTCACGCTTTGTCTGTTTCTCAAAAATAAATAAATGTAAAAAAAAAAAATTTTAAAGAAAGAAGATATGACAAGTCCCCCAGAAGCCTGTGGTGGCAGACTGTAGCAAAAACTTTAGTGTAGCCCCAAAAGACATTTGCCAAGTAATAAATTGCATAATTTGATCATCTGGACTATTCAAACATGGCATGATGACTTTGAACAAGAGAATAAAACTTCAGGAGACAAAAAACAAATCAGTAATATATTTGAAAGGTACAATCAGTAGACTACAAATATGTAAGCTTTAATGAGAAAGAACATTGTGGTTACTTAAAAAAAAAGAGGGCGGTGCAAAAACAGATACTCAGATCAATGGTACAGAATAGAGAACCCAGAAATGGCCCCACAAATGTATGGGCAACTAATCTTTGACAAAGCAGGGAAGAATATCCAATGGAATAAAGACAGTCTCTTTAGCAAGTGGTGCTGGGAAAACTGGACAGCGACATGAACCTGGACCACTTTCTTACATCATACACAAAAATAAACTCAAAATGGATGAAAGACATAAATGTAAGACAGGAAGCCATCAAAATCCTTGAGGAGAAAGCAGGCAAAAACCTCTTTGACCTTGGCCACGGCAACTTCTTACTCAACACGTCTCCAGAGGCAAGGGAA